GTCATCCTCATGAGATGGTTTTCAGTAACTCTTTCCCTACTTCCAAGCAGGTGTTGTGTCTCAAAGAGTCTTTCTCAGCAAGAGTTGTTCAGAGTTTAAGGGTCCAGAGGATGTGAGTGCTTGATCCTTGATTGGAGCAGCCTCATGGATTTCCCACTTCCCTTCCCCACTTTAGTTATCCTTTTCAAGGGTTTGAATACTTTCCATTCCAGTATCTGATCTTGTGGATGAAGAGGGGCCACAGCTGTCCTGACTAACTCAGGGGAGGCCTGTGTGGTGACCTTGTGAACTCAAGAGGCCTAAAGTGACCACACAGGATGGTCTGAAATTAAAATCTTTAATTAAGAAGCAGTTTATAGTGGGGAGTTATGTCTGAGGCCAGTATTTTTCCTGAAAAAGATCAACTTCCATCTCTACTGAGCCTGCTGTCTTTTTGCATCTAACTTTTGTAACTTCCCTCCCCACCCCCACCCCTCAGGGCACAACAAATGGAGCCAGGGCTGAGACCACAAACTCCCTCTTTGTTATTGTCATCTTGTTAATTGTTGACTGGTACCTATCCTGCACCACCTGTGTAAAGAAGCAGGTGTCTATCATTTCACTCTTTATCCAATTCCAGATGTTTCTCCATGCTGCTTTCTCCCACCTCCCTAATCTGTCACCAATGGATTTCATGTAACCCACTCATGTCTCCTCCTTTGATGGAAACTTATGAAACTGCCATCCTTTGGAGCATTGTTTCAATGGGTTGAGATTCTACTTCCTGGCAATTGTACATCAATCCCCTACTTCTGACTTCAGCCTATCCAGGCAGAGTGAGGAAAGAGCTGCAGTCATGCCTGTTCCAAGCTCTGCACCCGTATGTTTTCTGAAGGTAGTAAGGAGCCTATCCCTGCAGTCTCCATGTGTCCATCTTTTTGTTTGGTTGGGTGCATGGTCCCCAAAAATGATGTCTAATATCTACAGTTGTTCTAAATTCCTTTATTATGGAATTTAGAGTCTCTCAAATCACACTGTGGGTAGTCACAGAGCCTTTTCTATTTCATTTAATCAGTTCACTAGAGGCCTGATACATGATAATTCGTGCAAGAATGGGCCTTCCTTCCCCTGGCTGCCAGCACTGCCCTCACTCCGGCCGGAGCCACCTTCCCATACTGCCCAGAGGCCTGGAATAGCTGGGGAGGTGGGAATGCCTGCGTCTCACCAGGGCAATGATGCAAGCATCCTGCCTCAGGTCTCTTGGTGCCTGCATATGCAAATTAGCCCACCATCTTTGTTGGGTTAATTTGCATACTTACTCCTGATTGGCTAATGGGTGTCACAAAGGTATGATAATCATTTTGCATCTTAACTCCTTTATTAGTGTAGATAATAATACAAATACATTGATATATATCTGGAAACCCTGGATTAAATGTTCCTGAAACTACGGCAAAATGCTAACCTATTCTACAGAGGTTTTGGAAAATCTTCAAAAATCACTCTCAGTTCAGATCACCATCAGGACTTAAATCCCACCATCAGGGACTTGTTCTGACCTGGCTGACATTCAGAGTTTCAGCTCCCCAGAGGAATGGTAGCTGGTCGGAGGAGTGTTGGGGCAGGGACACTAGAGGGCCACATGGTGGGAGCAGACAAAAGCTTTCAGGTTCCAGTTGTGATGTGGGCGGATCTAAAGGAGAGAAAGCCTTTCACATTTTCCATGTGTCTCTTCCATGGAATATTTAGAGAGGCAATTGCGGAATCTGAGTTTCTCTCCCAAGCGTTCTCTTAGCAAGAAAACACAGGTCACTGAATGGCTGCAATGGTCCTCCCTTTTTGTTCTAAGGCACTTGGCAAATGAACAATTTTGTTCATACAAAAAGTTTCCTAAACTGTTGGTCAATTATGCCAACTGCAATTCCAAACTGTTGGCCAGTGATGCCCACATTTGCATTGGAGTGTAAATACACAGAAGAGGCCAGAATCTGGTCTGCAAGAGACACACACTTGGGTGTAGTCTGAGACAGACACGTGACCGTTTGGGGGTGATTGGTCAAATCAGTGGCTGGTTCCCTTGCATCCTAGGCTCCACAACCTAAGGGCTGGACAGTCTCCAATGGCAAACCTGCAAACCTGGCCTTCTGGGTAAACACAGGGCTTGGATGTGAACTTCCTGCTTTCAATGACCAGCAGAGAGTTCCCATGAGTAAGGGCAAACAGCAATGTTGCTGGAAACAAGGCAGCTTCCCTCAGGCATGGGGGCTCTGAAATCTATCAAATCATCACAATCTACGGGGGAAATACACTCAGCGCTTGGCAGCTCGATGAAAAGAAATGGGACCGGAATCTACTCACCCCATCCCTGCAGGCCTCAGCGGTCCCAGGTTCTAAATTGAGAGTCTGAGTCTTGGTTGCAGCACCGAGGGAGGTGGCAGTAGGGTCTTGGTGGGATGGGCAGGTTGTGGAACTCCCCAAAGTCTCCCCGAAAAACTTTTTAGTGAACAAAAGTACACTTAGCAGCGCTCTGCAGGAGTGGGGAGCACCATTTGACAGCCTTACTTACAAGTGTCTCATAAGGGGAAAGTCAGAATTGGAATAACGGGAGGACTTGGGGTCTGGGCTCAGATAGGGCCAGCTGGGCTTTCCAAGTGGTGGGGAAGGAGGCTGAGTAGTAGTGGGCGGAGCCTCTGGGGAAATAGTGGAGGACTGGTTGGTTCAGGTAGGTGAGGGTCCTACCTGCCTACCTGACTACCTTGGACCTGCCACTGTGTACTTCTTCATCGCTTGAAATCTCCTTTTGTTATTCCAAGTGCAATCCAACTTGGGAAACACTGAAACGGATGGTTAAAAAAGAAGCTCCAGCCTGGCCAGTGTGGCTCAGTGGTTGAGGTTCAACTAGGAATCAGAAGGCGGTTTGCTTCCCATGTCCAGTTTGCAAGTCAATCCCCAGTAGAGGGCATGCAAGAGGCAGCTGATCAATGATTCTGGCTCATCATGGATGTTTCTATCTCTCCTCCCTTCCTCTCTCTGAAATCAATAATATATATATTAACAAAATATTAATTTCAGCTTCTACTTAAATCCTTCCCCAGCGAGTCCTTAGCCCTTCTTCCCTTTATCATACTGAAGACAAATATGGCAAATTGGTGAAACTGCACCTAACAGCAAGACAGCAAGAGGAGTCACACACCCACAGGGGCCACATCCCAGCTCATTTCCACAGGTTGTGGTGACGGGGTGACTCTGGGAGGACAGCTTTCATGAAGATCCATGCCAAAGCTCACATCTGGGCACAGCCACCAACTTCCCAAATGCGGGCTCAGTGACGCGGGCCTGGCTGAGCTGGGTGTGCGCAGGCTCCATCCTTGAGAAGCCCAGTGGGTTTTCAGTGCCATGTGTGAGTGAGTCAGCGCTGACTGCTGCCAGAGAACAAACTTCATCTGAGGCTGCGATGCAGTGACCCTGGCCAAGGAAGACCCTTCCTCTGTCCTCCATGTAAGGACAGAGTGCTGAGCGGGTTGCTAAATGAAGAACAGTAGATCCTGGTCCAGGAGGGACCTGGAGCTGCCCTAAGCAGAGATGCTTTGCTGGGCGGAAGGCTAGCACAGGGAGAGCAGAAGGCATTTTTAAAGTATTTGAAGAATCACACATGGACGTGAGAGCCGATTTATTGGGGAAAGTCCAGCAGTCAGAAGCAATGGAGGGATGGAGGGGCTGTCCAGCAGCCTTGGCCATGCACACAGGAATGGGCAGTGGGCAGAGGGCCCTGCACCAGAAGGCTTTGAAGCCCCAGGTGAATGCTGCCCTGATGCCCGAGGGCGCTTTCAGAGCGCATGGAGCTGGGTCATACTAAGAAAGTTCCTCTGCAGCTCAGACTTCAGATGCAGGAAGTCTGCCTTTCTCCAAGCAGCTCAGAGTGAGCGGGACCTTTCCATCTGGTGCACTGAGTCCCTGGGCTTCCTCCTCTGGGACATGGCCCCTCCGCCCCCCGGACAGGGCCCTCCGGGGCTGCCAGCACCACGCAGCCCTGGGCGGTGCCCCTTTGGGGAAACGCAGTCACTCCATGCAGTTGTCACTCCCTACAATGTGCTGGCCACATGGCCTCTTTATCGGCCCTTTCTCTTTCCCGTCTCAGCCTGACTCCTCTCTCCTCACTGTCCCTGACGCCTCTGGCCAGAAGTTGGGGATCCCCAAAGGGTCCTCCGCACGCGCCCCGGGGGACCCGGTAGTTCTGGCTTCACCAGCAACACCCAGTGACCATGGGAAGGGGCCTTGGCCGGGTCCAGGTCCCGGGGGTCCCCGCCATGGCGAGGGCTTTCCCGGGGCCCATTCAGCGCGCCGGGCCACCTCCAGCCCTGGAGCGGGCGCCGCGGGCCGGGCGGGCTGGATCGGACGGGCGCCCAGGGCTGCCCGGGACAAAGGGGCTCCCCCGCCCCAACAAGCGCTTTCTCCCGCTGCCCCTCTGCCCAGCTGGGCCTGCAGCCCGCCAGCCCGGACCCCGCGGGGAGGGATGGATGGATGGATGGAGGGATGTTTGGATGGATGGATGGAGGGATGGGTGGATGGACGGACGGATGGAGGGGACCAGGGTGGGAGGTGGGGCTCCGGGCGCCGGGGCAGGGGCGGGCGGCCCCGGGGGCAGCGCAGGGGAGGCGGCCGGCGGCCCGCGCCCTCCGCGACCTCCCCCTCCCCCGGGCGCAGGCAGAGGGCGCCCCGGCCATGCCCGCCCCGCGCCCGCCGCCGCCTCCGCCGCCCGCCCGCCCGCCCGGCGCGCCCGCTCTGGGAAGGGCGGGAGGAGGGACGCGGCCCCGGGAGCCGGAGGGGCCGCCCGCCGCCGCGGGGCTCCCGCCCGGCCCCCCTCCTTCCCAAAAGCGCCCGCCGCCCGGCCGAGCGCGGGCAGCTCGGGTGTCCGGCTTCCTGTGAGGCGCCCCGCCCGCGCCACTGCCCGCCCCGGACGGCGCTGCTGGTCGGCGGGAGCGGCGGGGAGGGAAGGGCGGAGAGCGGGGCCGCCGGGCACCATGCGCCGGCCGCGCGCCCTGAGCCTGGCGGGCTCCCTGCTGGCCGCCGCGCTGCTCCCGCTGCTCCCGGGGCCGCGCCGCGCGCCCGCCGCCGCCGCCCTCCCGGCGGGACTCGGCCTCTCGGACCCGGAGCCGGACGCGGGCGAGGCCCAGGTGGGTGCCGGGCCGGGGCGCGGGGATCGCGGGGGCGCGGGGGGCCGCGGGGGACCGCGGGGGCCGCGGGGCCGGGGCGCGGAGGGTCCCGAGCGGCGGGTGCGTTCCGCTCGCCGCGCCGGGCGGACGGCAGTCGGGGAGCCGGGAGCGGGCAGCGCGCCCCCCGGGAAGGGTCTCCTGCTCCTTCCGCGGAGCTGGAGCCAGGGCGCTGGGAGGGGCGGCGGGGCGGGCGCGGGCGGCTGGGGACCCGGATCGCGGAGCCGCTGGGGGTCCGACCCGCGCGCCTGGCACCGGCGCGGGGCGCGGGCGGCTGGAGCGCGGCTGAGCCCGCGGGCTGGGGGCTCAGGCAGCGCCGGGTGAGGGGCCGTTGGCGAGCTCCCCGCACAGACAGCCCGGCACCCGAGAGAACAGTGGGGACCCGGCCGCCGGGCTGGGGGGGGGGGGGGGGGTGGCCTGGGTCCGCTCCCGAGGTTGGTGCCCCTTGAGGTGCCCCGGATGGCATGGGGCCCCAGCCGGCCTGCCCGCACGCTCAGGAACTGGGGCTCTGAGATCCGGGTGACGCTGGGGAAGGTGTGTGGGTGCCTGCGGTCCAAGCGGCATCTGGACTCTTTGCCTAAAACCTTGCCCGGAGGCGTCCAGAGCCGCTAATGTGCGAAGTGGAGCCGCGGGTGCCGCTTGCTGCCCCTCCGAGGCACTTTCACCCACAGCGGGAGCCCAGGCCGGGCCGCGCTCCGGAACTGGAGGTCCCGCTGCCGCTGCCGGCGGTCCCCTCCCCACCCGTCCCCGCGGGGCCGGCCCGGCTCTGCCGCTCCGGGGCCGGGGCAGTGTCCGCTGGGAACTGGCTTGTGGATCACATACACTGAACGGCTGGGAACCAACCTGCCTTCCCAGCCCAGGTCTGAAATGCGCCTTAAGACTGAGTGACTAGTTTTTAATACGGGCTCCCGGTGTCTTTACGTTTTGGGGTGGGGGTGGGGGTGCTCACATACAGGACAGGGCGGCAGGGAGCAGAGAGAATGGGCGTTGGGTTGCAGGACAGAGCGCATTGTGTGGGCGACGGGATGTTTGTAACACACAGCCACACACAGCCACACAGGTGTCACTGTGGTCTCAGAGTGCCCTCCGGGTCCTTAAATGCCGCCCAGAGGGAGCAGGACCCACGGCACCCACTGCTGCTGTGTCCCTTCTGTTCCTGCAAAGCCAGACCATTGGGAGGATCGCCTGTGGCCGCTCACTGAGGGTCACCGGAGGAGAGGGGGAGGTCGGAGGTCAAAAGAGAGGTCTTCCCCATAAGCTAAGAGCCTTCCCCACCCCCGTGGCAGTCTGTCACTGCTGGACAGTCCTGGACAGCTGTGTGTGTGTGTGGTGTGTGTAATGTGTGTGAGATGTGTGTGAGATGTGTGTGATGTGTGTGTGATGTGTGTGATGTGTGTGTGATGTGTGTGAGATGTGTATGTGAGTTGTGTGTGTGATGTGTGTGTGAGTGTATGTGTGTGATGTGTGTGAGGTGTGTGTATGATGTGTGTGTGTGTGCGTGTGTGAGAGATGTTTTGGCAGGTGTGTTATTGGACGATACAAGATAATTCATTTTTAACTTCAAAACTGTCTTCATGGGAGAAGTGATCCCATTTCCCTCCTGGCTCCATGCTCGCTCTCCCTGGCTCCCCGCCCTGTATGTTCCGCACAGTGAGCGTGGGTCCGTGTTCTGAGTTCCGAGTGGACTCTTCCCCACACCATGACACATGAGATGGGGTCTCTGAGTGCCACAGACCACAGGCAGCCCGTTCGTACCCTGCACTGAAGGGTCCCCAGGGGGGAGGAAAGGCGTGGCGAGGCATGTGGCATGTGCCCCTGCCATGGGATTGCCAAGAGACTAGATCCAGGCTCTCTGTCTCTCCCTAGTGGCCTCAGCAATCGCCTCCTTTAGGCACGAGCCCCGTTGAGGAGCTGACTTTTCTGTGGGCTCCATGAGCCCAAGAAGAGATTTGAGAAGGTAAAAAGAAGAGAAGCCAGCCGAAACCGGTGTGGCTCAGTGGATAGAGCGTCAGCCTGCGGACTGAAAGGTCCCAGATTCGATTCTGGTCAAGGGCATGCACTTGGTTACAGGCACATCCCCAGTAGGGGGTGTGCAAGAGGCAGCTGATCAACTCTCTCAGCGATGTTTCTAATTCTCTATCCCTCTCTCTTCCTCTCTGTAAAAATTCAATAAAATATATTTTTTTAAAAAGAAGAGGCCAACGAGACATAATTTCCAAAAAAGGCAAATTGTTGGTCACTGACACTTCGAATGCTTTTTTTTATATTCAAAAACTGCAAAACAGCTCATAAACTATGAACCAAAGTTAGCCAGCCAATTCTTCCCCCCCTTTCTCCGTCCCCTCCCCCAGAGCCATGCAAAAAACGAGGTAAAATCACAAATGCAGACAAGAGACCCTGTGCTTCCCCCTCTGTTTGGGTCTGTTGGGCCCCTCTTTCCAGTTACTGGTCGGAGGACGTACTCAAAACCCTGAATTGCTTCTTTGCAGGGTGTTAGGGCAACCGAGTCCGATCAGCAAGGTGAGGCAAGCCGGGCTGCTCTCATGGAACTAAAGTGAAGTGGGCAGGAGGGGGAAAGAGGAAATATTTGACCGTGTCGTCGCTCTGAAGAACACCGCACATCCCAGAGAACGCACTAGCTGGTTGCCTACAGTCACGTTCCAACCTGTGATAAGAGAGAGGTCCCTCTGGCTGGCGGGATGTGAGGACTTTGATTTTAAGAGAAAAGTTGGTTCACAGAAACAGCAAAAAGGAAGAGCGACGTCATGTGAAATGTGCTTACGGGACTTACACTGTACGGGCCTTTTATTCCATGAATTGGGTTGGACTAGGGGCATAATTACCTACATCCTTATATGTTTTTAGAGTAATAAATGCAAGAAGAGCATATTTTACATTGCAGATACCCATGTTAAAGAGGAAGCTCAGCCCTGCTGGTGTGGCTCAGTGGTTGAGCATCGGCCTGTGAACCAGGAGGTCTTAGTTTGAGTCCCCTCAGGGCACATGGCCTGCCCACCAGTAGGGTGTGGGCAGGAGTAAGGGGATCAATGATTCTCATAATTGATGTTTCTCTCCCTCTCCCTCTAAAATCAATAAAAACATTTAAAAAAATCAAACTCAATATAAAACTTACAACCTGTGTCAACTGAGTGAGTAGTGTGGAAGATGAAATATTGAATACACAAATATAGTGTCATATTTCCTGTTTCACACAGCTTCAAATATCTTTACATTTGTAAGTTAAATGCAAAAGAAGACTAGCTTAATATTAACAACATCAATTCCTTTAATGAGGATAGCTATTTTTAGTCACTATAATGAAAGCACATCTAGTTTATGGTGACTATCCCCCAAACCTTCAGAATAATGACAAGTAGTTTGCAGTGCTCCCGACTTCCTCCCTCTGTCACTTACATTCTGCGTACTTCCAGGCTTGTTTTGTCTTTTTATTTACTGCCTCAAATCCATGCGTGGTGATGCTTTTCAAAATGCCGTCTGGGAGCCGGCTGCAGCGGAATTCCTCGGCCGTCTTGAATTGCTCTTTTTCTTACCTGACACTCATCAGCTCCCTGGTCGCGGGTCTGGGAACATGCTGTTTTAACTATCCTGCTAAGTCATCCTCAGGCACAGTGAGTTTTGAAGTCACCCATCTATGGTATGCGACAATGATTGATTTCATCGGTTTTTATCATCTTCATTGCATGGTTGTTGAGTCAGCAAGGGCAGTTAGTGGGCCTGGGGGACTTCAGGCACACAAGCCATTTACTCTCTCTTCAAGGAGCTCCCAGCTCAGGGAGGAGCAAAGAGAGGCTTCAGCACAGCAATCCCTCTGCGAGCCCCCAGGGGAATGGCACCAGCTCCCTCCGGGTGTGGACGGCGTGGGAGACAGGCACCTGCGAGGCCTCATTGTCTGGGTGCCCGCGCATGGGCAGAACTTGAGTGGTCACCTGAATGAGAGCTCCCAGCAGACCACTCCGTCACGCTCAGGGATCCCTTTCACATCTTGGACAGGAGAGAAGGGGCAAGAAGGCTGGCAGGACTGAGGGAGTCCGTAGGGTAAGAGTGAAGGCTCTTCCTGAGAACAAGTCTGTAGGGATGGATGGAGTCGCATTTCAGGAATGTGACCATCATGCTATGGGGCATGGGGGTTGGCTGTGCATGACCTGGAAGACAGGAAGAGGGTATTGAACTCATGTGCGGGGTTGATCGGTCAGAACCTTGGCTGGCGGGGGGAAGGAGGTAGGGGAGAGGAGAAAGAAGGTGGGAGATTGGTCTTGTTAAGAAGCAATAGCAAGGGTGAGAAGGGGAGCTGTGAATAGTGCGACAGGTACAGTGATAACAGAAGGAAAACTGTGAGACCAGTGGTTCTCCACCTTCCTAAGTCCACGGCCCTTTAATACAGTTCCTTGTGTTGTGATGACCCCAACCATACAATTATTTTCGTTACTACTTCATAACTGTCATTTTGCTATTGACATGAATCTTAGTGTAAATATTTGTGTTTTCCAATGATCTTAGGCTCTACAGCAGGGGTTAGGACCGCTAGCAGCCGTCACCTAAGACCACCGGAAAACACAGATATTCACATTACAATCCATTAACAGTAGCAAAATGACAGTTATGAAGTAGCAACGAAAATAATTTTATGGTTGGGGGTCACCACAACATGAGGAGCTGTGTTAAAGGGTCACGGCATTGGGAAGGTGGAGAACCACTGTGTTAGAGGAAGGATCCATAGCTCTGGTGACTGACTAACAGGAAAGACACAGGAGTGGGGGCAATCGACCTTGACCTCCGTGTTATAGTCATCGGACATGTTGAGCCTGCTTGAGGGTTGAGGGCATTTCAGAGAGTGAAGAGACTGGTTTTCACGGATGCATAGAGGAAGACCAAGGCATTATTCCACAAATCACAAGATTTTACTAAACTAAGCCATCTTTGGAGATGCACATTACACTCTACCC